ACTCCAGAAATAAAAATGGAGAGCAGGGGATAGATGAAACAAGACTGGCTCAAAACTGAGAGTTACCAGAGCTGGGTAACAGGTACACGGAGGTTCATTATGCTCTCCTCTTCTACTGAAAAGTAGGCAAAAAAATACCCAAGGAAGTTTTAAAATCTGACATGGACAATTGTATAGGTGATTTGGATGCAAATTCAAGTAGATAATTACTGAGAAAGGGTTTCCCATTATCTCGTGTTCTCCGCTGGGTTGATAAGGCCTGGATTACATGTGTTACTAACAAACATGTATAAATCAAAATTTAACTATGTGTAAGAAGGCAATGGGGAAAGGAATCAAAATGCCAGCTGCAGGCAGTGGAACTGTGGGCAAGCGAAAACAGGCAGAAAGAAGGAATCAGCATTTATTGAGTACCAAATGCATACTAGGTGCTTTGTAAACATTAGCTTTGGATGCTCACACTGGTTTATAAAGTAAACTATAAAGATTTTAATCTTTTAAAAAGCTTTAATGTGAAGAAACTAAGGCCCAAATAGGAGGATGCATGAATTCCCCAGATCACATCCTAGGAGGCTCATACTAGCTGGGGTCTGAATCCCATCTGTCTGCCTCCAAGGCTTGCATTCTTTCCCTTACTCACTACTCTTCTCTGGACATTGCCAAATGACAGCTCACAGAGGGCAGAGGAATTCTGAAGACGAGGTCATGGAGAGATGGGTCCAGCACAGATGAACAACAGACTTGAGCTTGGAGAGAGGTCCTGGAGGTGGAGTGAAGAACAGGAGGGCATCCATGGAGTGGGGAGGGGTGGCAAGATGCGTATAGAGAATGAGAGGCCAGTGTGGCTCCCAGGGAGATGTGGTGAGGGCAGGACTGGGGTCTGGACTGTGGAGCTGAAAGAGAAGCTGTTCCAGGACTTAGACCTGGACAAGACCGGTAAAGATAACAGACTTCAAACCGAGGTGGGAAAACGATGCCTCCATCAACAGGTGAGGGAAGCCAGGAGGAGGCTGTTTCAGGTGGGGAGAGGAGAAAGGGATGAGTTCAGTTTCAACATGTAGAATTGGACATGGAATTGTAGACAGTGGAACTTCCTAGGGGAGGAGGCCAGATGGCAGCTGGGCTGACAGAATTTAAGATTTGAAAAGTCATCTGGTCTACCCATTCATTCAAGAAATGCGCATCCAGGAAGTTACCAGGGAGTGCCCTGGGATACGGAGAAGATTTGGCTCCCCAAGTCCAGCTCACACCGTGGGGCAGAAGGTAATCACCCATTCCCTGCCTGCTCACCTGTTCCAGGCACTGTCCTAGGTGTCAGGGATGCAACAGTCCCAGAAGTAGATCGATGCCTGGATTACTATAAAGGCCTCTTGACTGGTTTTCCTGCTTCCACCCGGGTACCTCGTCCATTTTTTCTCAGACAGTGGCCATTAGGGTTGCTGTGTTACACAGAATAGTCCAGGTAAGTGGACTAAATGTTGAAAAGGAAACTTCTAGAGGGTAGTGGAGTGCACACCCTGGGCGGCTGCATTGGCAGCCCTCGGAAAGAGACCCAGTGAGAAGTCAGAGCACATCCCCCTCTGCTCAGAACCCTCCAGGAGCTCCTCTGCCTGGGTCCTGAATGCACAAGCCCTGCTCTGGCCTCAGAACCTCCCCGCTGGCCCTGCCCTCTCCCCAGAAAGCTCTTCCGCCAGATATCCATCCATACTTCCCTTGAGGCTTTACTGAAACCATCTCAACGAGGCCTTCCTTGACCCCCCAGTGTTAAGCTGCAACTCTCTCCGTCTTCCCTGGCTAATTCCTAATCTC